TAATAGTATATTTTCACTAGGACCATAGTCCTATAATGGTAAGTTATAACTTATTTCAAATACATAACATAATATAAAAAAGACATATATCGGATTATAGCACTATACACAAATGTGGTATACCTAAAAACAAATAAAATTATCAAGAAGCAATAAATAAACAAGTTTAAAAACAAAACAAAATATTACTTTGTAACCTTTTAGGAAAATATACTATTATTAATTTTTATCTTAGCCCATACTTATAAATACYATTTGGCAATTATTGTTATTTGTGTTTTTACGAATGGCTTATAAAGATGAAACACAAATTACAAACAATTTATCGCGGAATTACCTCGTATCATATTTAAATATTAATTATAAAAGTAATTTAATATGAACTTTTAATTGAACAATCAAACAATGTGCAACGAATAACGATGCTTACGTAATCGATATTTCTTTTAGAATATAAGCAAATAAGTCTTTCATAAATTGCTTTTTTATGTGAAGTAAAATAAAAGACTTGTAGATGTTGAAGTTTTATTTATATTGGCTAAATTAGTTTTGAGAAGTTGGGAGCAACGATGTAGTAAGGAATACCTAAGATAGCATGGTGCTGGCTGCTTGGTTATAACAATTTCTTCAGAAATTACAATTTTAAAATAGTAAAAATATTACTCAAAATATTTATTATTTTAAATTGATCCTCCTTTTCATCGTTATGAAAACATACATAGTGTCTGTTTTTGAAGTGAACTTATTAATACCAAATATTAATCAGCATTTAGCKTGGTATAGTATTAGATCAGAAAAAGCCTATTAATTTATTTATTTTAATAACTTTTAATTATACACTAAAAATAATCTGTAATATAGAATAATATTATAATAGTGATTTATTTAGTTGTAATTAGATTATGTATGTTTTATTAATATTAACTATTATAATTTACATTATATTCCGATAAAAATAATATTATATATTTAAATGTGCTATTGAATAAAATAAATATTACATTATTACTAAGCAGTTATTTAGCACAATTTGTCTATCAATCTTGAAAATTATCAAGCGAAATTGGTCTGTCAATCCAGCAAAAATCAAGCCAGGCGATTGGTTTATTGACCCCGAAAATARAAGAACATATTTGATACATAAAAAAGACCATTTTAGGCGCAATTGCAGGTTAACTCCTTAAAAATATTTCGAGGATAACATCTCAAACACAGCCTCGAACACAACTGGTTGTGAAAATGGGTTCATTACAGACATTGTTTTTTCCAAGTACCTACAAATTTATACTATCAATCAAACAGTTGGCGTTAACGTAAATCTATTGAACTAGGTTTAATATAATTATTAATGAATARTATAATATAAATATAGTCTTATAGGCTAATAGTAAATATATTATTATCTGATCGTAAATAAAACTAATATAAACATACCTGATATTCATATTGCCAATTCGAATTTTGTTTGATTTGATAAACTGATGTACGATCTAAAAATAATAGTATAATAAACAAATACTTTATTAGGTGCATATCATGGCGATTTATATAATAATGATACTCACATTGAAACGATCTAAAACAAACTGAATATGATATAAATATGAATATCAGGTATGTTTATATTAGTTTTATTTACGATCTAAAAAATAATAGTATAATAAACAAATACTTTATTAGGTGCATATCATGGCGATTTATATAATAATGATACTCACATTGAAACGATCTAAAACAAACTGAATATGATATAAATATTTCGTTATTATAACTAATTCATACTATGCCCAACAAAGAAAAATAATATGTTACATTCAACATTTAATTGTTGAATAATGCCATAAAAATTAAACCGAACATGATCAGTATTAAAAACAGTATGGATCGAAATTAGAAACATTATAATAATCTTATCAGTACAAGTTTTAGAATTAGCCATGATATTATTGTAATTATTGTAACTATTACATTAGATAGTAGCTACAATTATAAATATTATAAATTATTAAAATAATATAAAATTAATATCTAAATGAACCCGTTATTCATCACTTAAAACTATATTATATAATCTCTGAAACTGTATAGAAGGTGTAAACGAAGTTATAATTAACTAATTAAGGACCTCATCGGATAACTTGAATTGACATAATATTTTATACATTGATACACAGATAATATTATATACATTGTAGTGAAACAAATATTGTAGGTCGTAGGACGAATTAATATTTACATTTAATTTATTCATCACAAAATAGTTGAATTATTTTTTGCCATGAAAACAAAATCGATTTAAATGTAATAAATTAACTTAATTTCTTAAAATAAAAACTGAATTTATAAATTTCACTTTAATTTAAGAAAACTACGATAAGTTAGTAGGTGGTTAAACTGACAGAAACCCAAAAGTAACTAGTTAAGTTGAAAAGTTAAAATCAAATTAACTTTTAACTTTTTGACTAGTTAATACCTAGGGGCTAGGATTGGTATTATTAAACAATATTTATGAGGTACTCAAAATTGTTTAAATCCCACCTAAAATGTGTGATTTATGTATTGTGTTCATGTTATTTATTATTGTAGTTTCCCAATGTATCATAATATGGTAAGCATTAAAGTATTATAAGAGCACAGAATTACACCCATACGCTAGTTGAACACTACCTCCTGCTATGTAAATAAATACAAACCCATTAAACAGAAAATATTTTATGAAACAAATTTTGATTTGAGAGTAAATGTCAACAATTTTCCATTACAATTTTTCAATTTACTAATTTATCACCAAATCAAGATCTTTATAAAATTTATACCTATTATAATATTATAACATGCGTATAATTAGTTATTTCATCAATACAATTGTCTGCTGAACATATATTAGTTCAGTGGCGTAATTAAGGGGGGGGGGGATTTGGGTGTCTTAACCTCCCCCATGACCTTTTTTTTTTAAGACTGGTTAACTACATTCACCTATGTACTTCTTTATCTAATAATATTATTATTATTTTTTTTTTTTATGTATATATATTGAAATCAAATACCTCGGCGAATTAATATTATTATAAATAGTCTATGTTTTATACTTTATAGAAATAATATTAAAAAAACAAATCCTATATGCTAGTTGTACATAAATACTTCGTACCTAGTTCGTTTTAAATGCAGCCACGCAAGTTTATAAGTATCACCATTGATTATAAATGCTAGTATTTATAATCAATGGTATCACTATTCAGTGGCATCATTTGGGGAGTGGCAGGGTGGGCATTTGCCCCCCTTATCATTAGCGGGCCGAATATGGGCCCCAGGCCCGCTATAAATTAACATTTCAAATTATTTCTTTAGCTTCACTAATATAGATTTAAATCAAGGTGTTGACATGTTTGGTACCTACTATGAAGACTAGAAGATACCCAGTTAATGTCTAGCATCTTACATTCTAACTATCTAAGTTGCACTTCAAAAACATAAATTAATAATAAATATTTAATAGTTTATTGTAGGTATGTTTTGTTATATTTTTTGTTTAATACATTTATACTTATATTTGACGTAAATAGGAGACATCATTGGCGGTAAACGGTAAATTTCCTTTTAAAAGGTCATCATATAATAGCTAATAGGTAACATATTGGGTTGGTGGCAGTATTGTGATAAACAGTTCCCAACCGTTTTCCTGGTTTTTGAACTGGAAAAAGGTAATATTGGGTATCCCTCTACAATCTACATAGTAAATATTATTATATATGTGTATAATAATATATTAATAATTAATATGTATTATTTAGTGATTGTTATCCCTAAATAAAGTGAATTATTTATGTCTTATCTCAGATAACCGTAATAGTAACCTAACCTAACCAAACTAGTATGTATAAAATTATGTAAAAAGGCTATTCTGTATTGAGATGAAAATGTAATTGTTAGCGAGCGGTTTTAATTTTTTTTTTGTATTATGGGCTGGTCAAAACTTTTGCCCTTCCCTCTCAAAAACTGAAATGACGCCACTGTCACTATTGCAATATGTTTTGTGTATGTTTCATGGATCGACGACGCAATGAGACATTGTCTATCCAAAAATATCAAACAATTTAATTTTAAAAATTAGTTGTTTATTATAATATGATACCTACTATATTATATGTATTTTATTTCTTCATAATTTTATAAATAAAATGTTATTAACACTGATTCGTCTCTAAAGTGTCTGTGTGAGTAACGAGTATGATAAAATATATATAGTATAATTTTATTTATATTTTATCTATACCGTAATCACTCCGTTGTCGCCGTCAAATCGGACGAGACATATTGAATTGTGTCTCACTATTGATGACGGGCGTGTGACAAGGTAAACGGGGGACRTAGTGGGGTATTACCAAAATTATATGTATGGAAGAGACATGTCTCAACGTAATATTTTAATAATTTAGGCACATGTTTAATGTTTATAATTTTTTCTTAATGGAGTAATATACGTTTAAAACTTAATATGTCAGATATTATTGATATTATTTTAAATAAAGGTCTTGGTTCTTTTTCGTATRAARAAAAATGCTTWAGCTATYGAAAAAAAAATGTTAGGTGAATTATCAAAAGATCCAACATTTATAAACAATGTAATAGATGTGTTCGCAACAAAACAAAATCGGCGAATTGATTTAAATGATATACAAATATAATTATTTTATGTAATTTACTTTTTTATGATTATCTAATTTTTAAAAAAAATTTTATATAACACCATATCTTTGGTTGTCTTGTAGACTGTAGTCTACCCTATAAAATGGTTCACGCGCCGCCACTGATGATCTAAGATACATATATCTTAAATCATGGTAAAGAGTGGGTAAATAACTAAACTAGCAACATGGCGGAAACTCTTTTATCGGTTATTCTATAAATACATTTTATCTAGGTATTTACACCTACGAGACATTCGAATAAATGATTTTTAATTATTAAATTGATGTGCCAAACATCACAAAGTATTGTAGTACGTCGCCGGAAAAAATACTATATAGTAGTATAGTATACCTTTGGCCTTTGGGTAAAAGGAATTATTATAGTTATAGGTGTAAATAGATTGAAAATAAATTTCAAATTAAAAATAATATATATATTTCTACTAACTTTTAACATGATCAACTTAATATTATAGGTAGGTACCTACCTGATTTTTGGATAGCTGTATAGGTTCCTCCATAGGCACCAACTCATAAGTTAGGTATGTACACGTTAAAAAAACTTGATCGAATAACAGCTAATTAAAATATTTTCATAGCCAAATAACTTTTTGATGATAGCATTTTTAACGAATCAAATAAATCTTGAAAAAGGAGTAGATCATTAATATTAATTTTAAATCTATAACGATCACGATACTGATGTTGACATTGATATATGTATTATTAAAGATAAACCACGTTCTGCGACTGCAGCACCTCACAAACTCTCAACTGAGTAGTGAGCAACAGAAACTCACAATAATTTAGCGAATAATAATATCGTGTCACCGTGTCAATGTTGTAGACGTTTAGTAAATTCACTATAGAAAAAAAAAAAATGGTTCTGTTGTAATGTYAGTGACTGGTGAATAGTGTGTACGAACCACAGAAATGTCAATTATTGTTTGAATGTGAACTTTTGTAATCTACGATAGTAAATAATGTTATCAATTATTATCAAATTATTCTTATCATTKAGCCGGCCATGTTATCTGATAGAGTTTATGATTGATAACAATTTACAGAAGATTTTCATTTAATAATTCAATATCTTTATTAAAACTATCAATACTCTGAATAGTCTAAATATCTAAGTACCTATATTATGGCTAAGTATTATTAAAACTTATAAATGGCTTTTCAAAGTCAAAACTTTAAACTTCAATTCAACGTAATTTAAAAAAAATAAAGTTTTACTGTAATAAATATTTATTATGTTCGTTTAGACTTAGTTTAAACTGTGATTACAATTTTACTGTAGCGGATTGCAATAGGTAAATTTATTTTTATTTCACATTTAGCCACTGAAAATGCCAGGTTCCAATCGCCTGTCATGTGGAGAGCTTTTTTATTTAGTTTCATTAGACGTAAAATCGTGCTGTCAGTGATTTTTGGCTGCTCATTAACATACTGTATTGTCAGTTTCTTATTGATTGTAAGTATAGTGRCCTGACAATATAAGTTAACATGGTCTTAATCTAGAATCTAAGTCCTGTAAAAAAAACCAAGTTAATCATTTTTTTTAGTCACCCAGACGTACAGACACATGGCGTGTTCCAAGAAAATTAGATCACAGTGCTTTTGTTTGGATGTCAGCCGAAGTCGATTTGAACAACTCATCACTTCAAAGTTGTCGGAATACTGTACAAGGCAAAGAATATATAGCAGATGACAGAGGTAATTATCACTTGAAGTTAAGCATAAATCACATAATAGACTATACTGAATACATTTGATTATATCATGTTCATAAGACGATAATTACTAAAACTATACTATTTTCCATGATTTATTATACTGCAACCTTTGGTTTAACAAAATACAAATCTACCATTTAATGAAATCTAAAAAAATGTTAAGAATATATAATCGTACATAGGTACGCCAGTTGTAGTTATATTTAAGTATTGATGTATTGTATTAATAAATATATATATAATATATAATGTAGGTATATTAAACAATTAAATACTTGTAACATTGTTTTGTAATTTAATTACCATTTTTGCATAATGTTATGCAACTGTAATCATTATAATTTTGATAATATAAAACTTAGCGCTGCTAAATATATTTTAAATATTAAATTAGGACTTAGAAACATTTAAAAATAAAATAATTGCTATAGGTTATCTTATATTTATTTAAAAATAGTTTTTAGTTGAACATGGAATCCTCTGAAAATATAAATAACAAATTTACAAAAGTGTATTTCTTTTAAGTCAAATTTTTGTTAGATAATTTATTTTACTTTGTTATTAATTTTACAAGTAAATAGGTAACATTGTATGATAAGCAAAATATTATTTTATTAACTTACCTTTTGAAGTTATTTATATACTTTCTCTGTTAATCATACACAATTAATTTGAATAAAGCCTTACATTATAATTTTTATTAATATGAAATTAATTTTGTAGCCATTTATACGATTTATTGATAAAATAATGTGYGTACAATAATAGTTGTATAAATTCATATAGTTTATTTAATAATTATAAATCAAAATGATCATACCTTCTAATTATATCTTCTTAAGAGTGTAAGTTAATATTACAATAACCAATTTATAATTATAATTTTTATTTTTTTGATAATTTTTTTAAATTACTAAAAATCCATGTGAAATCTTCAGTGTACTTGCCTACTAACTAATAATCTAAAAAATAATTCTTCTTAAGTAGGTTTAATTAGATGTTAGAATTATTAATTTGTATTGTTATATGTTGTTGTACATATGTTCAAAATACATAGTTAAAATATCTATAGACATATCTTGTAAAAAATTAATGATGTAGGTACCTTAAATGTGAGATAACAAAACCAATTTTAATTACAATATCTGTGTATAACTTGGATTGTAATAATTGATTAATAATTATCATATTATACAAAATTCAAATAAGTTATGTTTCATTATGTTTTATAAATAAATATTAAGTTGTAGGTAATGTAATGCAGGATTAAGATGTATACACCATTTAGGTAATTTAATAATATTCATATGACATAATATAGGTAAACAAAAGTTTTCAATTTTCTTAAAATATTAAAACAAAACTAAATTTAATATTATGTATTGTATGTAGTTGTTTCTGTCTTTATCATTTTCTAGATATTTTAATTTGCTTACCTTACAACTATGTTCGGGAGTGCCTTGACATTTTTTCAACACTGCCAAACTTAAAAAAAAAATTTAATTTTTCATTCACTTTGGATCAATACTTGTTTCATCAATTWCACAGATAACTAATTTTTAATAATCTGTTCTTGTTTATATAATATGTAAATACTGTATCCTTAAAAATGTTAACCTTAAACTCCTTGTATGCCAATGGCCATAGACGCCGARAACTATATTATATTTAAATTWAAAAAATAATAATAAAATCTATCTTGTGTTTTGTCGTTTTGATAAGTTTTTAGTAAAAATTTAATAAATATAAAACGTAGTAATTTGTTGCGTATATATTCTTTTTTTAGTGTATTGGTTTGGTTAGGTACTATTTTGGTAAGGAACATCTGTTATCCAATTTCATATCAATGTGCTAATTCATACTTATTATTACCTCCGTTCAATAAAAATAAAAACTGTTATTGTAATTTAWGCGTTTTTCAAGAAAAATTCTAAGTAGGTAATCTAACCCTAATGAAGATMAAGGTTTTAGAAATATTGAATAAGCATCAAAAAATCATTTTATTCTTGCTCAAAAATGCATTATTTCAAAACGGTCGTACAAGACACACGCTCCGCTCTTATTAAAAAAAAAAATCGTTATTGTTTTCGTACCCACGCATTTTCAATCGACTAGAAACTGTTGTGTGATGATGGATATTTAAAATGACAATGCCAACCATAGCTGMAGCAATCATTGTTGTGTTATAATTAATTATTAAATGTGTTCCGATGACAGGTTACATATGTCGAAGAGACGATCTCCTCGCGAACAACTGCTGCGGAACCACCGAAAAACGTTATGTGTGCGACACGTGCAACGCGGATGGCTGTTGTGTGCTRTACGAACAGTGCGTGTCGTGTTGCCTCAATCCGAATAAGGTAAGTGGTAGCTAATTTATTAAAATCACGAACATAATAATACTTATTGTCGATAATCATACCTAMCCGACGGCCGACATGTTGATATAAATTTTTTTTTTAACCTTTTAAATAATCTTCGAACTTTGATTTTTGTGCATCCGATCACAGAGGAAATTGTTACAAACCGTGCTGGGCAAGGCTTCGGAGACCTTCCGCGTTCTTTTTTCGGTGATCAACAATCACTTCGAATTGTGCTTGGCCAAGTGTCGAACGAGTTCTCAGAGCGTACAACACGAAAACGCCTACCTAAAACCGAACAAACACTGTTACACTACCGCCGACAAAGTACCCTGACCGCAGCAGCAGTTGGACGACATCACGCCGAATTTTTTATCGACTGCATTCCTATATTATGTGCACGTCATACTAATCGTGCTGGGTAAGTGCAATAAATTAAATCGCAAACTGTTCTTGATCATCCACAGTGATCACGACGTAAAGTTTGACATATCCTCCCCGTGTCCAGCTCATCATCTTGATTGTTTTTTTTTTCTGTGACTCGATTTTGTCAAGACTATATAATATTGTTACATTGGCATATTATGKCGTTGAAAACAAGTTGGTGTATAATGTGCAATTAGGAAATAAAAATTATTTTATTAATTTTAAAACATTTTTAGAAGTTATATTGATGATTATATATTTTATAGTAATAGATTATAATAATTTTAATTGCTGGTGTCATTYATTTGTTCAGCAATGTAAATAGGTACCTAATATACTATAGTTTTGGTACAAACAATTTTTAATTGTTGTAATTATTATTGCAAGATTGGCATTTAAATAATTTCAAAAAAGAATTGTTCAAAATCTAAATATTTTAATTATAATACCAAACGAGACTGGATATCAAAATAAAATGTATCATATAAATTATTATAGATATAATTTGTGTAAAAATTACTCGATTTCCTGTGAAAAAAATATTGGTCATACAAAAATATATACTTATAGTGAATATATACACACTAAGTTGTAACTAACATATTTTGTGTTTTAATTTTATTTTCACTTCATCTTTTTGGAAGAATAGTATTCTTGTCCGTATATTGAAGATCACAAGAATAGCAGAGTACGAGTTGAAAAAATTTAATTATTATGATTCATTTATGAGATAGATCATTAAACCTCAAATAAATTCAAATATTGATGTAACTACAGTCTGTCTTCGTTTGAAATCGTTTTTCGTATACAATAATTATTGGATTCACATCCATTACAGCGACTCTCTAGATACATAAGAAGGTACAGCAGAGCATTACTCATCACTTACCCGCTTTATTTGTCTTGTATGTCAATATATTTTGTTGAACATCTAATAAATATACAATAAGACTATATTTTTATTTTTATCCACTTGTTATAGTTTTAATATTGTAGTCTTATCGCTATTCACAGGTTGAGGTGAACTTGATGATAATATAGTATGATACAATTATGTTATTATATTGTTTATGATACCTATATTAAAAGTGGMCAGACTTTACCTTGCGGGATGAGGCCCATGGATTGATTGGTTTGCAGAAATCTTAAACCTCAAAAATGTCATCTAAATTGCATTGTCGTGTGTTACATCTAGTTTATTAAAAAAAAAAATGAGTTGATTCATGATTGAAGACGCGGTTCTTTAGACATTGTACTGTTTATTTCATATTGGGTTATTAGTTTATTACCATACAAATACAAAAAATATCTTAATTCTAAGGAATTTAGTGTTCTTAATTGTTAAATGAGCAATAATTTATTCATACAATAYTTAATATTACAACAATACACTGTTGAGTATAAAGAAGTTAAATCGTACATCTAAGTAATGCTTAATATCTTTTTAAGCAATAATTTCTTACACTTAAGCAACTCTAAATTTTTGTACGCAATTTTAATGGTAATCGTTACCAAATTATTACTACACAATTACAAGATACAATAGTCATTTAATATTATAACTGGATCGATGTGAAAAATACAAATAAAAATCGATATCTTTTAAGGACAGCAATAGAATTAATAGTAATCCGTTGTAACTATACGATTATGAAAATAAAATGTTTACAATACATTGAACGAATAAACACAATAATATTATGTTATTATATATATAAGTAGTTCCAAAATACATATTTACATTTTGCAGGTTAAAAAAATAATATAGGCCTAATTATAGTTATAAAGGGACGCAATTGTATGGGATTGCGTCTTTTGGCACTGAAGTTGATCTTAAAAATAATTTATTTCTATTTTCATAATCAACAAACAAAAATAAATCAAAACATAAGTAGCTAAATATTGGTTCTACTTAATATTAGGTACACTTTTAGAATATAATATATCTACTATACATCTAGTATAAGCCAAATCTATCCGATGGTATATTTTTAATATWTATACACAAAATAATAATATTAACAATATATATATATGTTATAATAATAAGTAGGTACTTGTTATATTATGTGTTTCTGTCGTGTWATAAGTATATAATATATACATATAGCTTTTACATAGATAACTGCTTACTTATACATAATAATATACTAAACTGAATACATTAGACATACATAGAAATATGTCTATATTATTGTATAGACATATGTTAATTTATTGTATCTAATATAAAGCTAATATATATATATATATACCTAAGAATAGTTATTAAATTTAAAAAATAAAATATTTATAAAAAACACGTATTAAAATTTTTATCCCGAACGAATATCATCATCGTCGCGATTGTAAATGGCATCGAATCTTGTCATCGGAACAGCGACGAGCTAAAGCGCCGGAGCCGTAAGTGTGGGCACACAGCTGGTATAAATGGTATACATATTATCCGAATGGTATCCATGATGCCATGTGGCGTGTATGTGTTTTTATATGGAATTTAACGAATTTCTTTCACGTATTGTTATAAACGTTTGGTACGGTGATCGTATAGTAGTGATAAACGCGATATTACATGAAATCGCTGGTAAAAAAAAAAAAAATCGGTAGATATAGGTGTATTTTTCACTATGACCTGTAGAGGTATATAATATTATGATGATGGGAAGAGGACGAATTAACCTATAATACGCGTGATAACGTCTTGTTCGGAGGATCAATGATTGTAATTGCGAGAGATCATGACACACGTCCGCTCTTGCCGGTCTTGTGAGTATTATAGTGAATAGATATATCATTACAATATATATGATAACAATATTATTACTTAAAGRTGGTAGGTATATTACTGCAGTTGCGCACGGTATTCTGTGTGGGACGTAGGGCGCTGTATTGTGTATAATATATATATATTGGTAGTTCTTAACATTCGTTTACGCGACTACTATAAAACATAACCTATGTATATATGTATAATATCTATATGTAGTATTTAAATATTTTATAAACAATAATAATTTTTTAAAAAGAATATAAAATCGGGAGAAAAAAAACATATGGTCAATTTATTATATAGTATTCACTTAAACAATAATCAGTACATCATTCCGGGATGGATACCGGAACGGTGGAAAAACACGTTGGGGTTGTTGGACATGGTCGGCTCCATCGTAGTGTAAATGCTGTTGTCCATTCCCGAAAAGTTGCACATGTCTGCARAGAAAGAGCGAAAATAATAAACAATTAATTTTTTGGAAAAATTTSACATTGTTATTGAGTGGGGAGATAATATATACCACCCTTAAATAGTTTAAAGTATCTTTTCAAATTATGAAATGATGACTAAAAAAGGATTATCAATTCAYGCGTAAATTATGACACTCCTTTAAAAAAAATCCTACTTAAGCCACTACCTACAACACTGCACATGCGTGAAAATACGAGCGAAAACGGTTGGACCGACAACCAGTCAATCAGAGCTATAAAATTTGTTTTGGAATTGGGTAAAAAAAAGTTACAGAACACTTCCCCCCTACCGAGTTATGCGAGCCAATAGACTCATACTACTTGGGTGAAAATTCTGAGGAGCTATAGGAAATAAAAAAAAAACTATTAATTTAAAATAACCCATAAAAAGGGGGCTTATACTAAATCAACATGGGGTATTCTCGTAGTCAGAGAAGGCTAATCACCCAAGTAGTATGAGTCTATTGGCTCGCATAACTCGGTAGG